TTTGGAGGCAATGGAAATAAGGCTAATGCCTCGATGATTTTCGCACAAAGTATGCTGGCGCTTCTTGAAGATAAGCACGACAGTCAGCAGTCGCTAGCCTGAATTCACCACTTCATTGTCCCAAATCGTGTTAAGTAGAGCAGCAAGTGTAGTCAAGAAAGGGTCACCTCCATCATCCAGGAAAGATGGAGGAAGGTCGGTGGGTCCAGGAGACTTATTAATGCTAATATCAAGATTTTGGCCCACAAATAACTAAGGAATCGGTCACCATTGTCTGTTCGGTGTGTATCAACCCGGAGCACCCAGGAGCATCAGGTGTTGTTCAGATCCCGACTTTCGAGTTACCATGCCATGCGGAGAAGATAGGAAAGGGAATAAAAAAATTTTGAAAATCCTCTGCAGTCACTGAGAACATAAACAGGGGAGATGAACAGGCACCTTCTCTTCAGACGCTATTTATTGACTACAATAAAGGTCCGAAAAAGAACAGCACACATCCAGTCGAGTAGACTGCTTTCAGAATGGTTGCTGAGTGTGAGACCAACAACGCAACTGCCTTGGAAATTCATTCAGTATCGCCAGAGGCGATGAGTACAGTCATTTTCGTTAAATGCAGAACCAGAGTCAAAGATTCGTCACAAAGATATTAGCTTGTATGCGAGTTGGTGCGACATAGCAAAAATAAATACCAAGAGAGTGAAGAGTAAGAGTTAGCGCCGACAGTATGCCGATATAGTTCTGAGTGCGGACGAAGCAATGTGAAATGAGACACAGGGCTTGATGGAGGAGTTACATGTATCGACGTCAGCAGCTGTGAGTGGAACGGGAATCTCGGATTAGGGAAGAGCAGGCCGGTTTCCGCCCAGGACGTGGCTGTATAGACCATATATTCAATTTACGGCAAGTGCTAGAGCAGCGCCACGCATACCGCAGACTGACCATAGCTGTGTTCCTCGATTTCAAGAATTCGTTCGATTCAGTCGGTCGATCGATTCTGTTCGAAATACTTGCGCGGAAATGTGTTCCCACGAAATATGTGAACATCCTTCGTGCTCTATACTCGAACACTACAGGCTGCGTCAAAGTCTACGGTGTCCTATCGGATAGCTTTCCGACCACAAGTGGCGTTCGTCAGGGTTGTCCGATTTCCCCATTTTTGTTCACTTTCGTCGTGGATTCTATCATGCAATATTCCGTTGCGGAATCTCACGGTGTAGGCGTTGAGGTCCTGCCTTGTGAAAGATTAGTTGATCTTCATTATGCGGACGATATCATCTTACTTTCTGACGGTGTTGCGACGGCACAATCAACCCTGAATACCCTGTCTAAAGTGGTCCCATTATTTGGTATGCGCTTCGCACCTTCAAAGTGCAAAGTGTTGCTGCACGACCACCAGCCACTTGATGACCCCTTGACCCTTGCTAACCAGAAACTCGAGGTGGTTAATCAATTCACTTACATTGGCAGCTGCATCAGCAACGATGGGCGAAAAGAAACTGATGTCAGCTCACGCATTGCAAACGCCAGAGCTGCCTTCTTGAACTTGCGACATCTTTGGCGACAGAGGAGAGTTTCCCTCCATCTGAAAGCTCGTGTATACAAGCCCACAGTGAGGGCCGTTCTGCTCTATGGTAGTGAGACTTGGCCCCTTCGGTCTGAAGATTGGAGGCGCCTCCAAGTCTTTGATCATGATTGTCGGCGAAGCATTGCTGGTGTCGGATGGCACCAACGTGTCCGCAACGATGATGTGCGTAGGTGAGTACTTGGTAGTGATAAACATGCTAGCTCCCTAGAATGACATATAGCACTGAATAACTTGCGTTTGCTCGAGCACGTGCTACGAATGCCTAGTTACCGCTTACCTAGGAGGGTCTTGATTAGTCTGCCTGATGTAGGGTGGCGCAAGGCTCGAGGTGGACAGAAGTTGACTTGGCAGCGGGAAATGAACTCAATGACGACCAAACTGGGTGCCGTTGGTCCGTCTCACCTTCCGGGCTGGAGTCCTCGTGACTCGCCTTGTGCTTGACTCGAGACTTTACAGGATATGGCTCGCAACCGACACCAGTGGCGCGTCTGCTGCCGTCTCCTAATCGGATCTCCCTTTTAAAGTGTGTTTGGTGCTGAGTTATCTGCGGGGAATGGCTGATTATGACGCGTAGCAGTGGAAGCCGCAAGGAAGCTGTCTCGCTGATGCCGCCTTATCTTTGCACGATAGCCAGCTGTTAGTGACGTTATGTTGTCTACACAAGGTTTAGGCGCCTTTACCCTGAAGGTTTGCTGAGGGCATTAAGGTTTTCAGGTAAGTCCCCCTTCTCTCCCTCTTATTATTCTTTATTTCATAGGTCCTCATAGTTGTATGGCAGCGAAGCATATGTTCAAACGGCTGATGTACTGCTGTTGTTGTTTGTTGCTGCGAGTTCAGGGGCAGTCTCTGGCTCAATAGGCAGGGAAGAAGAGAGTTTCGGGGGGAAAGAAAAACAAGAAGATTGCGGAATAGCGAGCACGTACCAAAGTGATGATGGCCTATGTGAGCAGATGCGGTGTTCAGTCCACCTCAGTCGCATAGATATGTTATTGCCTGAAATTTATCGCAATCCCCTAGTTGTTGTTTGGATAGGCTGCTGTATTTAAAAATTACAGTCCCCAAATATTCTATTTATTGGCGATTTCAATTGTCTCAAAATAGGTTGGCCTGAACTTCAACTTATCCTAAGGATCTTATATGGCCGAAGCAAATTTCTATGAAATAAAAGTTGAATCTGGGGTAGTGCAACACATACAGCAACGGACACTACTAACACTCGCAGGTGGATTGGTCTCTACTACAGCGTGCATCTGGTAACATTTGCTGGCAAGTTATAAAGGATGGAGCGAACAATTGGTGCAACCGGTCTGTGCCCCTTGGAAAGTCGGACCTATCCAGTTAAATTATTTTGCGAAGCAATATGATAAATTGACTCGTCGAGAGCGCAAACTATGGGATAAATTTTTCCTCCTCGGCATGATAGTCAACTACGAGACATATGGAAGGCAGAAGAATATGAGAAAGGGCCAACATTTTAAAGAGCAGCGCACTAAGCGTAAACACCATTCCGAAGAGAATCATTACCTAAGTGAGGTAGGAAGCAAAAACCTGTAGTCTACTCAACAGAGCATGAGGGTTCGGATGGTTGGCGGTATCCGGTTCCGGATTTGCCTGTCACCGCAGCCTCCTCAGGACAGCCACAGGACGCCTGCGCTTACACAGGGACCATGGGTGGCTTGCGCTGCATCACCCACAGCCCCAACCACACACCCCATATGCAGTGTCAACCCGAAGGAATGAGACCAGGAGGCATGCGGAGAGGGAGCCAGGTTTCATCAATGGAGTCGGCCCACACTCTTTACCAGACAAACATAGACACGCTGTATTTGAGGAATCAAGCGCACACAAGGCGGTGGCTGGACCGTAGTCCGCTCCACACTGAGTGCATGGAACCGCTCTTCGAGCCTAGCACGGCCACAAGAACCGTGCACCCCGTACCCTCCAGCAACGACCAACTGTCTCCTAGAGCAAGGAAAGACGAGGTAGTCGGTATTAGAGAGGGAGGCAGCTTATCCACACGCAACATCAAACGTAGACGCAGCGGGATGTCAAGCAATAGCCAATCACTCGAAATAACGACGTCGAATGAAATAAATCGAATAAAACATACGGTTATGCGGACTTAGCTTTTCACCAAATGAGCATAGGAAATAAGTTGGTTATCTACAAATCCACGATAAGTTCGAGATGCAGTCAAACGCGTTTTGTTGCCCACCCGGTTTATAGCCCAACTCACTTTATTGCCCAGTTTTACAAAATACAAATTCTTTTCTCATAAATAGGCTAAATTTTTACCGTCTAATTGCCCATTACCTGGGTCGTCCCACCGCTTGATTGCCAGGCTGCGTGGGCTATGCTCTTGTCGCTTTAGCAATTTTATGCTCTCTCTTTGACTCTTTTATTAAGATTGCCCCACATTTAGCCAATCCGATAGAGTCAAGAACAACAAACATGTCGGCGGCGTTATTGACAGATCAGAGAACATTACGTATGTCATTCAATACACGAGCAAACTAAATGTACAGACAGCTGTGGGCAAATCCTCGGCCCTATTTAATACTCGAGAACTGAACAAAGTCGGGTGAACTTTCCGCTCCACATTTGTCATTACTCTATTGGTTACACCCAAGCATGTCAAGTAACAGAAAGGATTTGTCTTTGACAGAAAAGTTGGACGTTTTGGACAAAGTAAAACATATCCATCAGGAACCTCGCAGGTCAAGATGTCGCGTGATTTACACATTTCTCGTCCTACCCTAGCCAGGTTGATTGCCAGTGAAAAGAAACTCCGGCAGAAATTGTCGCATGGCACTGCAAGCTCTCAGAAAAGGAAGCGATGTGGAAAGGATGAAGAAGAAACTGCAGTGAAAGACTGGATGATCTCGGTTCGTGAGCACAACCAAACAGTTACAGGTCCGCTTCTGAAGAAAAAGGCAGAAGAATTCAGGGAAGGACTTGGAAAAACCTGTGCTGCCACAGAAGGACGGTTGCGAAGATGGAAGAATAGAACACAAATGGTGTATAAACGTGCACATGACGAAGAGTTCCGCGAACAGAGCAGTCTGTGAAAATTGGCTGAAGGATCAACTGCCGAAACTGTTACACGCTTTTTATGACAACAACGTGTACAATGCAGAAGAAACAGGTCTTTTTTATCGAGCAACTCAAGTGTACTTTGTTTTGCCGCCGACAAGCGCAGCAGATCGAAAAAATCATGCATAGGAGTACTTTCCTGTGCTGCACGAATATGTCTGGCACGGATAAAAGAAATATAGTATTGATTGGAAAAAGTAAGAAACGACGATGTTTTAATGGCGTGAACGTACTTACACTCCTCGTAACTTACAGCGTTAACTAAAATGCGTGGATGTCAAAAGAACTTTCTACCGAGTGGGTCCTCGAATGGGACAAGAAAGGGGGCCAATATGGAGGAAAAGGTATGTTACTCTTGGATAATTGCACAGTGCATCCACAGGCAGAAGGACTGCAAGAAATTCAAATGGAATTGTTGCAGGCAAACACGGCCCGCATTCTTCAACCCATGGACCAAAGTGTGAGTATGTATCTAAGACCCCGTTGCAGAAAGGAAAATGTGAACCGAATTAATTATCACATCGAAAACAACGTGTTATCTGGCTCATCATCGGCGGTGGATGTAAACGCCAAGATATCTGTGCGCAATGCTATTAGGTTCCTTTCAAAAAGTTGGAGACAGATTACCGGTGCAACAATAAAACGTGCTTTCGGGATGCTAGCTTCAATCGACTAGAATCCGATGCACTTTCTGATAACGCCGTCATCGCTGAAGATGAGATCAGCGCTTGCACAATCTCAGTCACGAATGCAGAAGAGTTCGTCTAAAACAACAACGATAAGGATCTGAAAACTATTGAAGATGAAAACGTCAGTAAAAGTTTAGAGAACCGACTAGAACAAAAAGAAGGTAGCGACTCAAAGGGTGAGGTGCCGGATGCCTCCGTGAGTAACAGCAATCAGCGCGTATCGCATTCAAGAACAAACAATTGTGTGAATGATCTGTGTAGCTAGGGCCTTTTGCGTGAGCAAGGTAACGATTTCTTATCGCAATTGGACTTCATCAGAGTAAAAGTGACTAGGGTATCTGCACGAAATAATGTTGGATTGTTCTCTCAGCAAAAAGATATAGTAACGCCAGTTTCTATAGCTATTCAGGTAAGATGCTTTATGTTATAACTTTTAAATTATAGGTCATGCTCTTCTGAATAAACGTCTTTTGTAGGCTTCAGTTAAAAATACGTATTTTATCTTTCTTAGCATGTTACAATTCAAGTGATATATTGTATAATAATTCAACGGTTGTTCCCTTTTTGGAAAAATGGCAATATCGGTTAATTGCCCACTATTGAGATATCCCGATGGTGGGCAATAAAGCGGGTTCGACTGTATCAGGAAAAGATAATTCAAAATGTCAAAAAACGAGAAATTTTTCATGAAGTTAACCACCATGAGCTTAAGCGACGTGTGCAAGCAAACAGATCATTTCAATTAAAAAGATCTAGATGAACTGTACGCTGGTTTAGCCCAATTGCGGTGAAGAAGCATCATGGATACAACAGTAACCACAGTAAGAAGCACGAGGGTTCGGATAAACAGCACCCAACACGCAACACTGAGTGTGCGTACATGTTGGCGGCGCACTTTGCTTAGTTATTCGCAAATGACCAAATATTTGCACCGGGTTCGACGTGTACTACGGGTACCGAACTCGACAATTTGGATTTCGGTGCTGAAGAGATGCGGTAACTGCTCACTAGCCGTGACCGCTCCAACCCTGTTGAGCCTGACGAGTTTCACGCATTGATCCTCAAAGTCGCTATCGACAATCATCTCACTTGTCGTGTTCAATAGGTCACTGTCCAAAGACTGGAAATGCACGGTATTAATGCCGATTCTGAAAGTTGGTGATCCTAGCAGAGTATACAACGATCGGCGAATTTGTCTGACATCTATGTTGGCCAAGGTGGCCGAGAAGATCGTGAAGTAGGGTCTATTAAAGCTGTTCCGGTCAAAGATCTCCAGAAGCCCGTACAGAGCGGTTTTATGCCAAGCCGTTCATGCATCACCCACCTGTTGTTGGTGACGCATGGACCATTGCAGGCAATAAGCCAGGAGAATACTGTTAAGTTGGTGGATTTCAGTACGACCACCGCTACACGGCTGCTCGTGCAATTCTCGGATTTATATACTACCATCATCACGCACACTGACAGACTTATAATCATTCGACGCGCATTTATCGGCTCTGTCCGACGGACATAGAATTGGAGGAGTTATTTCATTGAGTTATCATCTAATTCAACAAAAGGTGGTTGTCGGTGCTTCGACCTCATTATCCATCGTAAGGTCGTAATCCACATGTTGGCCTCTTAGGTCACTCTGAATAGCGTGACGTGTTCATCCACGCCCAGCTTGGATCGGCACTTGCAAAAAAGAAAGCAAAATTTTAGACAATAAGTTGCAACCACGGTAGATCACGATTGTTACCAATGATCAAAATAATTTAACGCACCCGTAAACTGTGGGTCGCATTATATTAAACCAGGTAGGTAATCCATTTAGAATCAGCAGAGTAACTCACTTTGGCATCTAGCAGCAAGTTGTCTGGCTTGATATCCCGATGAATGAAACCCATTTTGTGGATCGAATCAATAGCGAGGACCGCCTCAGCGATGTAGAACTGTGTCTGAGTCTCAGTAAGAGTGTCATGTCGCATTAGCAAAGTCATCACGTCACCTGGGAGTGAGAAAAGGGCAGAGACGTAACGGAAGATTGCAGCGAAGTGCCAGTGGAACGATCGAAAGAAACAGTGAGCACCAGAAAAGCGCAAGTAGCAAAACACATGCGACAAAGAGCAAAACACGAAAAATGTGCCATAGGAAATGGAGTAACAGAATGAAAAAGTGAATGTGTTGGTTAAAACATAAAAAGAGCAAGAAATATCAGACCCAGTTGCCGTTAAAGTGTAGACTAGTTAGCCGTTCACAAGTTACTGAAGGTGTAGAGTTTACACTTGTTGCTTTGTAAACAAGTACAGAGATTAGAAAGTAATAAGTATTCCATCGCCATCTCTGTTACTCAAGTGGTAGAAGTAGCGGACAAATAAAGAACATGGAAGGATTAACGATGAGGTAGACAAACATCCGAAAAAGTGACAGACGGCCATTTTGTCCTGAAGGGAGTCATTAGTAGGTATTAGCAACAGTATAAGGAATGGGAATAGAGCCAAACAAAACCATGGATATCATCGGAAGACGGGTTGAATCACAGCATCATCACCCTAACACAGTACATGAAGGCGAGCATCACCCTTTGGCTATTGTGTCGCAAGAAAAAAAGGATAATGTAAAACCTGGATCCAACGCGTTAGGGCGCAAAGGTCGAAGCTGGCTGTGGTTGGGTGCTCCCGACACCCGGGTTGAGGACCAAAGGATCCCGAGCACATCTGGTTGCAAACGCCACTGGATATGGCCAAGGACCGTGCGCAATGGCACACTTGCTGTGAGACTCTTCTTCTCTAAATGTCTTCTCCCTTTCAATCTACTGTTAATTTTTCCATTGTGTGTTGAGGCACTCAGCCAATATTAATGTAATTGGTTAAATATTGAATAAAAATATACATAATAAAAAAATTTATAGGTAGAAATTCGCCACTTCTAGACTCACCCAGACAGCCGTCACACGCCCGGAAAAGCACTGTACGCGCGTTTCATCCTTTCAGGAATCGTCAGCAGTGCGCACTCCATCGGACCCTGGTAAGGCTCGAATCCGCAACTCGACTGTTGCCAGTCCGTGGTTGAGACCACTGAGCTCCGGGGGACGGTAACAATCATCGTGAATTAGTCACTAGATGTGATATGGCGCCGCTCACTATCCACTAGCTTACACGTTACTGCCGTGCAGAGGAAAGGGCAGCCCCCTCACCAAGCGATGAGCTTACCAAATTTAAGCCGCCAATTAAATTAGGGCATTATAAGCAGTTTGGTCTGCGTAGTGATTACAGAGGAGTAGTAGGGGGAGTTGAATGGTATAAGTGCATAATGAGCGGCGGATAGGTCAGGATGTGGTCACTCCGTAGACGGCGATAACTGCTGCTGCGCAATCCTAGTGTTTACAGTCGCAGTTGAGATGTCAAATGGAACAGTCCCTTCACATTTTTGGTTGGGGTCTCGAATTCAACCAGATGGCGTCTTAGCCACGGTTGCCATGCCTGAATTTTGTACTCCGTATGAAGCCTCAGATCTGCAATGAACATTTGTGGAAAGATGGAAAGATTGAAGCAGTGGCGTAGCAACTTCTTTTGCCGCCAGGAGCGTTCGTAAGTTCGCTTTCCACGGCAGTTAGATATCCGTACACCCTCACAATAGCGAACAGCCCTTCAACATTTCGTTTGATAGAACAACGATTCAAGATTTAATTCCAGCGTTGCTACATTTGCAGGCGTTTGTATTGTTACAATACTCGTGTACAAAATGTACAAAGACACTTTCGTGCTTTAGTTGAGGCAAAATTCTAGACAACACTACCAAAATTCAGTCCATCGGCAAGTTCCTTCTCCATGGAGAGAAAGTTCAAATTCGTGAGCCTTGGGTGATTCATTTCTGATCGGAGGTAATTTTCTTGACTTGTTTCGAGAAAGTGCGATCATGGTTACCAACGTTAATAGCTCGGATAAGAAAGATGAGCAGCATGATAACAATATTTGGTGCAATTTCCCTAAGATGATGGTTATGTATGAAGCTCAAACGTTCAAATGGTCCATTGACGTTATCCTCTCCGGAAGCCTTCACAAATACTACAAGCTTCTACTTTCAGAAAGGAATTCCGCCTCTCTATATCTTCCTCAGCTTTATTAAGCAGATGAAGAAGAATTGACGGTATAAGTGTATTATTTTACAAGGGACATGAATTACAAGAACACAATGTTGCGAAGAGCACTCTTTTCGATAAATCTCCTTTCAGGCATTTACAATTACACAAATAGGCGTCTGTCTAAACGCATCGCGCATCATTGCCTATCCGCTTTACGCAAGGGCATCGTCAATCACCTCAACAGTTCCATCCTGGAAAATCTGGTGGAAATCAGACACCGAATTAGGACCGCTAATACCTTCAAAGTAATTTATGTAGTACAGCAACGGTACACTAAAGGTCTTAGGAAGCAAATCTTACGGATGGCCGAAGCGATCGCGATTAGGATAATTCAACGGGAATTATGCAAACACAAGGCTTTGCTGCAAGCGCTTCTTCTACCTTGGCCCTAGTTAGCTTACCAACTTTTATCATTTCGTTCGCCTACCGTGATCGGATGATGCGTTTGGCATTCCACCGATCCACCAACACGTGCATTGTCACATGAATTGTTAATCTACTTTCTGATCAAGACTTTTGAGTTTCTGTTTGTCGTGATTCCACTATTCCCATCTATTTGGCTTCATCAGCTATTTGTGCTCTGCACTTCCATTTTATAATTGTAAATGCCTGAAAGGAGATTTATCGAAAAGAGTACTCTTCGCAAAATATCGGAGTTGTAAGGTCTGCTCAAGAAGTGGTAAAGTTCAGGATAAAGATCATCCATTATTGAGTCGGAACAAGTTACGTCTCTCCTCACGAAGCCTGTTGATCCTGTATGGTCCCTCAAGCCAAACTGCACAAAGCCGACTGCTAATTGGGAGTCAGTCGAGTAATGTGGCCCCAGCTTTGCTACTTAGCACTACACCAATGCCATCCAAGCCTACCGAAGATGTTTCTGTGTCACCAGATGGCTCCGTAATCGGTTGGAGATATCAATTCAATCACTAGAGATTCTTAAAGTAAGTTTCAGAAAGACAGAGAATATCGAAGGTGAGGGATATCAAGGTGCGCGCAAGACAAGCCTGCTGCCCGATCTGCGTAAGTGTACGCGAATTGAAGCACGCCAGACGGAACGAGGATCGAGGCCGAAGGAGTGCGACTAGTCGAGCTCTATTGCCGTCGATGAAGCCATTGGGAGTAGAATCATGGAAAAAGGGATCGGCTAGTAAAGGGTAACAGGTGTGTAAGTAGTAAAAGAAAAGCAGTTGCGCATAGTACGACAGTCGAAAGATCCATGGTTTTGCCGGTGGGCCTGATACTGCCTGGTGGCTTTAAGCCGAACTAAGCCGAAGTTTGTCTAAATATCATCCCAGCAAGGAAGCGGGGCGAATTCAGTGAATCGCGCCTGCTGGGAGTCGGTGGCTAAATGTTTGATTCATAGGTATTTTGTTTGATAAGACACGAAGCAAGGGTCCAATCCTCATCATGATGTCGGCACACTTTCTGTAGTGCAATACTCGGCCGAGGTGAAGCTAGGGTCAGTGTTGCTAAATAAACATTTGCGACTTTTATAGGGAGAACGCTTGCCAGGCGAAAACCTACCACGTCCTGGAACACTGCCGTCGAACACTTCGCTGGAACGGGTAAACCCGAACGACCAAGGTGGCACCAGGAGGAGGTAGTTCGGTAAGCATCCGTCAGATACAAACCCACGACTTTACTCTCAAGAGCAGGCGACTTAAGGCACTGAAGTCTATGACTGAGAAGTAGAGCGAGGCTCATCCACCATCGTCATGCGTGCTGTGAAATTGCAGAGGAAAGGAATGGCCGGCAGTTTCGACGTCCCTCGTAAACAGTCATGAATTGAGGAGGGTTAGTCAAGTGATTGATGACCTAGCATGAGGCGGTCGATGCGCCTTAATGACGAACCCCCAGGGGACGGCTACCTGGTGAATCTGGTTGCCAGGAATTTTAGAAAATACAACAAAACTCCTACTACCCTCTAGCAAAGAGAGAGCCGGTGACGCATGACGTCGAATTCTTGTTCGCGTATACGAACAAAGTGAGTGCATCTGAAGCATAAGTCACAACAACTAGGAACCGACAGGTAGAACGCCAATAAATATGCGGAAATCGAAAGGTCTGTGAAATAGTTAGCAAAGTGATAACAAAGATAACGCACCTAGGCAGCCGAGTAATCTGTTAAAAGACATGTTGTATCGGCAGTGTCAACAACACAGAAGACTCACGTTGCCCACTTACTAGAGATAAGACCACACCTGGCTCAGTCAGATGCATGCGCCTGCGATGATATGTCATTCTAAAGGACAAACATTGGTTTCATTCTCTCAGCCCATACCACGACGGGTCAACGGCAAGTCGCCTATGAGCTCACGATGGAAAACAGGGAATCATTTCTCGTACGCCTTCGACTTCACAACCGAAATGATCACAAATGACCGCCGAAAAAGTTTTCACCTGCACTGGAAGTTCCACCACATGATCGAGTAGCAAGCGCATATAAATTGGCAGACACAGTGATCAGACAACATTGGGATGTAATTGGCTTTCAGAGTGCAAGGTACTGCAGTAGTACTGGGCAACAAGTGACAAAACATCACATTAATGACGCACATGATGGTTGGGCCACAACACTATAGCCACGTTAAGAGCAAGCACGCTTCTCGCTACTGACATCGACGAAGCACTGCTCGAAAAGGTTGGGTGCATAGAGAGTGTAACAAAGATATCCACAACTTAGCGTGCAGTAATAGAGCCGCTTGTGTGTCACAAGCACGCGCCATGATTGCGCATTGTACGTCCGAAGTCTGGAGGACATTTACTAGATTATATAATGTTCATCAACAATCTAGCTTCCCAGATAAAGGTAGTGGGAAGGTGCATAAGGAAGATGACCAAAAGACTTAACTGGATTTTCTTTCAGGTAGGTTGTTCAGGGACAGGCTCGGGATGGTACCCTTAAGTTAACTCCAAGATAGTATCGCACCCACTGAAGAAACTATGGATTTCGCTGCGCTGTGTTCGGTCTTCTTTTTTTTACAACAACCGTACCTTCTTTTGATTTCTATAGGTTTTGATGGCCCTATGTCTATTTGGGACGGAAGGTATGATTGAAAACTATAGGACGAAGGGACAAAGACAAGCGGCATCATATAAAAGCGGGAAAACTGAATGGAAAGCATAAGCTATTGCAACCGTTGACAAAGTTTAAGAGCATCGCATACATTGGTATGATTTCTATTTAGGCACCAGAGTGAACAGAATGATAGGAGTAGACTTACCGCCAGGAAGAAACTCCATGACTAGATAAAGATTGACCGAGTCTTGGAATGAATAGAACATTTTTACAACCCATGGATTGTCAGCCTTCACAAGGATGTCCCGCTCAGCACGCACATGCGCAACCTGATGAAAATCAAAACGAAGGGGAGATAAAGGTACTAGTAAAAAGATGAGTATGCAGGTAAGACGACCATCATCATGATCAACCCTGAAAAACTATGCTGATGATGCCACCTTGATTGCAAATGAAAGGTAGACAAATTCCAATTCTGCATGTAGAGTGAAATGGGGCAACCAGAAAAAGAACAAGCAGTGATCACGTACGATCATGATAATCATGAAGAGAGAGGGCAACCGGGTCCAAGCCCAGTTATCACTTTAAAAGAGCGAATTCATTTTAAGTCCTTCTGATGGTTCGAGGTATGATGTCAACAGTTTACATAAGTACAAGATATTCACCAAACGACAGCGTCACCGTAGGCCCCAACCAACGACCAAGTCGACAAGCTCAAAAAGGAGCAACAGCCCCAGAGCACTAGTTGAGAGCTCATTTAATCAAAGGCGATTTTATATAAATGCTGGAACAAAACACAGCAAATCCCTAAACAGTGCCCTCCATTTCAAGAATCTGTGCCACCACCAGTGCGCACGAGAAAATCTTAGATCCATGACAAGACATAGTTGCAGGGCGTCGCAGATACGCTTTTCAGGCCTAGGAACTAGCACTAACGGAGAATCTATTTATTCAAACTTCGGTCACACTCTGCAACAGTCGTCGCGCAGATTAACAAGGGTCACCTTATCTGCTGCATACAGCAGGACGGATAAGCGAAAGCATACTAATGCTGGTGTCACCCATACTTCCTTTCCACCTGTTTCTCTTACGCCCATCCCGACCGCGATTACTAACCTTCCTTATATAATTCCGTTCATTAGACACCAGCCGCAAGTAGATCGCCTAGGATGTTCAGAAGCTCAGCTAGGTGGTAATTATGGGCTTAACTCCAAACGGACGGACAACGCCGAGTGTCTAGTACAACTGTGTGCGGAGCATCAGTTAGTTCCTAGCAGCACCGCTTTTAGACACCGGGGGTGCCGATGTGTCACTTGGCATCCTCCTGTAGCTGCCCAGGGATAGACCCGAATTGATCATGTTGCGATAAGATACAGATGGCATCATTCCATCCTGGATCGTCGATCGTTTTGGAGTAATTGCGTTGACCCTGATCATACCTTGGTACCCTGCCGTTTTTACATAAACTTTGTTAAGAGGCCTACCAAGCGTCACGCTCGAATGGCAACTGAGAAGTTATGTCAGCCCTCGGTCAGGCAAGCTTACTAGGATGCTCTTCGTAACGAACTTACGACATTGAGCACCAGTGGAATAGGATCACGGCCGCTATGCACGACGCAGGAGCATCTGCTTGTGGTACAAGCAGTTGTTACCGCATCAATTACAGCATATACTAGTCAGTCAACCTGCCGGAATCCAGAAGAAAACTCTCGGTTCGCTCGGAGCACAACGTGACCAGACGGACTAGTAGGCGCGAACTAAAGCGGAGCCCGCGTGCTGACAAGGAAGCCGGTCGTTCATAAAGAGGTGGGAGCAGTAGAAAATTATCGCAAGCTCTACCAACTGATTCGCCCCACTGGTCCCAGGAAATCAGGCGTCAGTGAGACAATCAAAGACATCGTGGGTGCAATGAGTCATAATAAGGAGCAATGATGACTTGTTGAGCGCAGAACTTTCAAGATCAGTTCAGGAGGCCAAATGGTTCCGGACCTCTTCCTACTTGGGTCGTGCAGGATGAACCATGGACGGTTAGTTTAGAGTCTCCATCGGAGGTAGAGGTCCGACACGAGATTACAGTCGCACCGACTGCGCTAATAATAGGGGTATGAGCCTAACGCCAGTCGTGTCAAAAATCCTGGCTTCAATATTCGTTCGTCGCCTCACTGCGAAACGGGGAAACCCGGATTGAGGAAGAGCAGGCCGGTTTCCGCCCAGGACGGGCTGCACATTCCCTTTGCTAGATCAACGCCACGCATACCGCAGACTGACAATAGTTGTGTTCCTCGATCTCAAGAGTGCGTTCGAGTCAGTCGATCGATCCATTCTGTTCGAGATACTTGCGAGGAAAGGTGTTTCCATGAAATATGCAAACATCTTACAAACTCCGTACTCAAACACCACAGGCCGCATCAGGGTCAGAGGTGACCTGTCGGATAGATTTCCGACAACAAATGACGCCCGCCAGTGCAGTCAAATCTCCCACTTTTTGTTCAATTTCGTCGTGGACTTCATCATGGAGTGTTCTCTTGTGGAATCTTACGTTGCAGGCGTTGACGCGCTGCAAGGTGAAAAACTAGTCGATCTTTATTAAGCGGACGATATTGTCTTTCTGTTTAACGAAGTTGGGGCGGCCCAATCAACCATGGATACCCGCTGTAGAGCGGTTCCATCATTTGGTAGGCGCTTCGTGCCTTCAAGATGCAACGTTTTTGTAGCACCATCAGCCATTTGATGACACATTGACCCCTTATAGCGAAACACTAGAGATAATTGATCAATCTACTTATCTTGGCAAATTCATGCGCAACGATGGGTGCATTTTCACAAGTCAGTTCACGTATTGCACAAGCGAGAACTGCCTTTCTGAATATGCGAGATCTCTGGCGTCGGAAAGAGGTTTCGCTCAGTCTGAAAGGTCGTGTTTACAAGGCCACAGGGAGGGTCGCCTACTCTACGGGAGTAAGACGGCCCCTTCGATCTGAGTCGCCTTCATCGATATACGTGAAGCATTGCTGATATCGTATGGCAACAGCATGTGCGCAACGATGATGTGCGCAGGCGAGTACTGGGCACAGATACTCAAGTTAATTCCTTAGAATAATGGATAGCAATGAATAAGTTGCGTCGGTTTGGGCGCGTACTACGTATGCCCGGTCACGGCTTACTGAGGAGGGTTTTGTTTTGTTTGCCATATGTGGAGTAGTACAAGGCCCGAGATGGGCAAACGTTAAGCTGGCAGCAGGAAATGAAGTCAGTAACGACCAAACTGGGTGATGTCGATTCGTCTAGCCTCCCGGGCTGGAGTCCACGTGATCCGCCTTGTGCTTGGCTCCAGACTTTACATGGCATGGCTTGCAGCCGGCACCAGTGGCACGTCTGCTACCGTCTTAATTATCTGCGGGGTAATGGCTGATTATGACGCGGGGCAGTGAAAGTCGCAAGGAAGTTGTCTGGCCGATGCCACCTTTGCAGGATATCCATCCGTTTGTGGTGTTACGTTGTTGACAAGGTGTAGGCGCCTCGACATTGAGTGTTTGCTTATTGCATTAAGGTTTTCAGCTAAGCCCGTTTCTCACGCTCTTATCAGTATTCGTTCCGTAGGTCGTTGTAATTTTATGAAAGCGAAGTTTCAGTTTAAATGGCCGATGTACTACTGTAAATTACGATGCATCTAAGTCATCATTTGAACCAATGGTCGAATTTTACATTGGTTCCATAGGCGCTAAGATTACATGTGAGTGCCAATGCACACTACTAATTACCAGTGTCTGCAAAACATGCACAGGAGTGAATGCCGTCGTAATCTGGAAATAAAGACCGCATTTTTTACACTTCTTGCGAAAACGTGGAGAGAGCCCAAAGTATTGATGGCCTAGGATCTATCATAAGCAGAAATGGACTCAAACGAGAAGTAAGACAATAATAAAGCGCATTGGTGTAGACACTTTGCCGATGGATGATAGTTGGCGGGTAAGCATTCCTTTTCGAGGTTCGCTATCGTTAGCCTAGAACACATCAGTCTAGTCCACAAGATAGCGGAATAAATCGATGGATGGATAGGGATGTATGGCCCCAATATTCAGGATTCCTCATCACTTCAACGTGGGTTGCAAGATATGGTGGAGTTGTCTTCATCTAGATCACTCAAACTTAACGCTTCTGAATGAAGTGAGGTAATATTTACTTTGGTTCGTGGCGATAGGTTACAGTGTCTCATAGGTATGTTCCCCAATCTTACTGTGAACGAAAATCCAATATCCAAATTATGCACTGTCAAGTATCCCGGTGTCTTCTTGCCCTAGAACCCTTCCTGGTCCAAGTATGTCTGCGAAACCTACCAAAAAGTTAGAAAATTTACTGTTATGCCCACAGACTTAAGGTGTTTTTGGTACGTCGTATTTTAATATACAAGTTTGTGACCTTTTGCATTATTCACCATTGGTTATACAGCTCTCCAGTCATTATCTCTGGACTGTTTCAGATAGAATACATCTTGTTGGGACGATCTATAAAGCACATTACTAGATTCAGCGGATTGTCTAGAGATTCCCTAGCAGATTTGATCATTTTTAGACATCTTAGTGTGTGTACTAACTGATTGTTTTCAGCCACTTCAAAGTCTGCTTACAAAAACGCTCTTTTTCTATTCTACGCATTCGAAATATATAATTTTATTCGCCCATACCTCATCGTATGGCAATACTGTCTTGACTTACCTACCACGTTTGCTGCTGACCCAGTGAAAGTCATAAACATACGGCGCGAGCGGTTGTTGTAGTGGTAGTTGTGCATTTTTCTCATTATTCTTTCCAAGTATGTATAATGATATTATCATCAAGTTTGTCCGCAGTGGTGGTGTAAATGCTGAAAGTGAACCCATTAGGGTTCATAAAGCTTAGTTTGACTATACTTGACTACGAATGCTTAGGGCACTCCATTCAGAGCCGTTTAATGAAAGTATAATTTCAAGAAACAACGGAGGATAGGCCAGTGTGAATTCAATGCCCCATCTAGGCAGGTCTGCAAAATCTTAACCAAGGAGTAGTTGACCTGAGGTCGGTGGTAGCAAAGATGGTTGAAAGAGTAGTGTTATCCCGTCATCTAAGATAACCCGTGGTGACTCAGATAAGCGGCTTTAAGAAAGGAAAACAGGATTTTCCGCAACCTGCGAAAAAGTGGGCCTCAAGAACGAGTTTATCTAATCTCACACTAATAAAGTGTCCGGTATGAATTATGCAAAGGTCCGGTAACTGGAGTCCGTCCTAGG